GCATGGTATCGATCTGGCTCGATGGTATCCTTTTCCACCATGACCTTTAGGTGCCACATGTGCCTCGTACTTGAATGGAATAGCATCACCTTGGAAATCTGCTTTGTAGTGAATCATCTTGGAGACTCGGGGTATAACTTGTTTCCTCCCAGCCTATCTCATGACCCTGGTAGGAGCATAAGGATAGATACCCCTCAACCGAATCAGCACTAAATGAGGAACATCTCTTGACCTGATGATAAACTCGCTAGTAGGGAACCACTCGAACATCCACTGGACCTTGTCATCCATCAAATTGCGAAAGAAGCGCACCCAATCCACAGCATTTTCCGGTTGTACAAACCTGTCTGGGATGAAAGTCATTCTTTTTGGATGGTGAAAAGCTATGTGGTCATTCCATGGTCGTCGGGGAAATTCCTGACGGTACTGTCCTCTTTGAAGATGCTCCAACAACCATATTTGTAGCAACAAATTACAACCCTAGAAATATCTGAATCCCTTCTTACAGTGGTCCAAAGCTCAGTATATTTCTACCACGATCATTGGGACAATAGTGTAATTCTGTCCCTCAATTCCATCCATTAGGGTCTTGGTAACCATAGCTAAAGGGGTGTGAATCCTTTCTCCTTGTATTGGGAATACCAACATTCCCAGAAAACAGATAATAAACACAAACCCGACCGTGGGTACGAACTCGACCGTGGGTCCAACCCAACGAAGTGATAGCAAACTCATCATGGTAAAGGCGGAGGATTTGCTGTGCCCATAACGTTCGTAAAGGAAGTCGAAATGTATATAGGATTTCTTCAGGCAGACTAACTCATAATTCTTTCTAAAACCCATCATTTTCAGAAACCCTCGAGAAGTGCAATTTTCTGGTACCAATAGACCGGGGCTATCCCAAGGAAGTCCAGCAAAGCCCCCTATTTCCTCTAGAAGGGGAGTAATTTCTACATCCCTGAATGGAAAACAGCCCTTTTTTCATCCCAAAACATAGTAGCGGCCTTAATCAGTATGTTGTTCGGTTGAATGTCTAGCAAAGAAGGTAAATTCCCAAGAGCTCTTTTCACGTGGATTTTGTCGCTTGGTGCAAGATTTCCCCACCAATCCAGTAGCAAAGGTGGGATATTTTGAACCATGCCGAACCTGGGGACCTCGTGCCTCATTTCTGCAAAACAGATAAAGTTAGCCCTTGCCCTCTTCAGATTCAGCTATTTTCATGTTAATGATCAGCATATTGGCATGTTTTTCTCCAAATGATGCACAGATCGTGATTGTGTCCATTGGGATTATGGAAATCCCAGCGGATTTTGGACAAGGTTTGTCTTAGTGAGTTATTGCACGGACATCGTTCTAACTCATACTAGGTTTAGACATGCTGCATGCACAGTTGATTTTAGAATGGGGTTTCTAGGAGATTCTAGACCGGTACCCTCAAGTGGACAACTTGAGAGGGAAAGGCACGGAACCGTCGATTGCACCGTTGATCGACTAGTTTTACCGCAAATAAGCCTTTCCAATTTTAAAGGGTGATTTTAGGAAGAGCGCGGACACTCATCAAGTGACGCTATGGTATTAATACGCACGAGTGGAATATGATGCTGAGCATGCTTTATACAAAGATAAAATATCACGTTGTCAAATATTTTTGCATGTTGAAAACAGTAAAATGCAGTATAAATATAAAGACATAAAGAAAGGAAAACAAGGAAGAAGTTAGATCGCGTAATGAAAGAATTATAATAAAGCAAATAAAGGGAAAAGGATTGGGGAGAGACATAACATAGAAAAGTTAAAAGTTCGGAGCAAGTGAACATGATTAGGAAAAAAGGGGAAACATACATTGTAATCAAATTAAACTTTCACTTGCTTAGGAAAAAAGGGGAAACATACATTGTAATCAAATTAAACGAAGAGTTGCATATGAGTTCATATAAAGGGGAAATAGGGAAAAAGGATGTGCATGCAGCAATAAAAGGGAAAATGGGAGCGGGAGAATCAGGTAACAGCAAAATAACAAAGACACACTTATCATGGAAGACTAATTCACAAAGATCAAGTTCGTAACGGTAAGATCCTAAAAGTCCCCAGCAGAGTCGACATGCTATCGCGCCCCGTTTTCTCGCGAAATTGGGTTTCAACACGTGACAACTCTTTTAAGGAAGGTGTTAAAAGAGAGAGTCGCCACCTAATGGGTTAAGGTGCGTTAGGGCACCTAGTTGCAAATAACTTTGTTTGACCAGTTTGCGTCACCAAAGATCGGGTAAGGGCTCGAAATTACCTCAAAAAGAAGGTGTTAGGCACTCTTCGAGGTCCATAACGGTGGGTCCCGGCTGAACTCAATTATATGAATTAGCCTATGTGATCAAATCTAGGAAACAAGGAATTACTAATCGTGAATGAACAATTGAAAGACAAAGGGGATGGGGGTCCTAAGTTTGTTAGCCTAAAGGATCACCCCGTGCAACATAAATAATACTTCGTAGCTCCCTCGAGATAGGGTGTTACTCATATTATTCAGCGGGCACAGACTATCATCTACTACTACCCATTACTATCTTTAATTTTTTACCTAAAGCGCACTAGTTGTATCTAAACCGTGCCTTATACGTGCACTACCCGTCCCATGCCTATGGTCCAGGAGGCATTTGGACCCTCATTTTAGGGTGGTTCTAGACTTTAACTTAGGCAGCTCAAAAATGTCAAAAGCTAGGCGACATACAAAACACATTGGACGTTCACTTATAAGCAAGTAAGGGATCAAGTTGGCCTCCGCAATTAGACAACAAATGCAGGCAAGTCAGATTAACAAAGACAGTTGCTGATTTTAAACAGTGAAGAATGCGGAAACCTCTGGACATGATCTCTATATGAATCTGGATTTAATGGGCCGATAGTTATACGCAAAAACCATTTTACTTTCCAAAACCTATATGATTTGCCTACTGATTTTAAAACATAGGGATTAAACATATAGGCATGATGTCTAGGCGTGTTACGCGATAATAAACAGTGGTAATTAAAGAAGCACATTCAGAATCACTTATTTGACTCTATAGGCAGGTTTTCTAGTGAGAGTAAAGGCATAGTATTTGGAAACTCATGAACAAACGGGCAGAAAATGGTAATTAAACTGATTCAAACCTATAGGCATGCTTTCTACAATTTGATCCGATTTTAGATCCTATAGGCATGGTTTCTATAATTTGTGAAAAAGGCAACATGTAAACAGAATACTGCACGCACATTGAATATACAATTCCCTATAGGCATGGTTTCTAACAAGCAGAACACAACTAAACCAAGTATTGAACCTGTAGGCAGGATTTCTATTGAAAAAATAATGTGTGTGAGAAAGGATAAGATACCTATGGGCATGCTTTCTACGATAGCTGGAAAGTAGCATGTTTTAAGAAAAGATAGATTACCTATAGGCATGATTTCTGACACGTGAAAAACTGAAACATGCTTGAACAAGATAGCACATTTTTTTAGCTAAGTAATGAGCCTATAGGCAGGATTTCTACCCAATTCAGTGCAAGTATAGGATAAAGCCATTTCTCTAATTTTACTAATACCCTAAATTGTTATTACAAATAATTATTACAGACCAGAATTTAATGTAATGAATTACAGAATAAGCATAACTATGGGGAGCCTACAGCAGGCCCAAATACACCCGAACAGGCCAGGCCTTCAACTCACAATAGCTCCAAAACCCATGTTCATAGATACAAAATAACCAGTTGTTGAGTGATTCATCCATATATCAAGACTGAGCATACAAAACCCAAGTCCCTAGTGTGTCCGAGTTCCCAAGGGCTTCAAGAACCCAAGGCAGTGCTCACACTTGGGAGATTGATCGGAAATAGTTCAGGGAAGACTAGGGACCAAATCCTAATGTGTCAGAATTCACAAGGGTCTCACATGAACCCAGAGCAGTGCTCACACTAGGGAGGTCAAAGGAAAGAACCTAAATAGCCTTGGCTTTCAGCCGGCTAGGAATAAGAATTCAGAAGGGCCAGATAGTAGAGGAGTAGGAGATAGTAAAAGAATTTCACTGAAGGGATAGAACACACATACACAAACAAGTAGTAGACATGCTTGAACTTAGGCAAACTTGGTCACATTTTACGAATTAATCACATGATACCAAGGCAAGTTATAAAGCAGATTCATAGTGATAAAAGATGATTCAGAGTAGACTAAGTGCAAAAACTAGTATCATAAGAAGGAATCATATTAATTTGCAATAGATCAGGGCATGTTTAAAACTGATTAGGGCAGTTACTAGAGGTGTCATAACATAATGAGAACAAAGTCAAACATGCCACATTATAATGCACTTAGAAACAGACTTGCTATCCTATTAAGGAAGACATCTGTACCTAGTTAACCAAACCACAGAAAAGGTGTGAGAGCATGTTTACAAGCAGGTTCATAACAAACTTAGCTTCGAGAAATGGTTATCAATGACATAGAATTTAAGCAGAATCTAACTAATCAACTCAAAATAGGTTTAAGCATATCTCAAACCACAACATAACAACATTTAGGATGGCATAGGCTAATTGAAGTAACATATTAAACAGATAATCAGAATGAAGCGGCAAATGGTCTAATAACTCACCAGTTGAGATGAAACAGGGAATAAAGGAATCCAACAGTGCGGTGAATATCACCAGACAGAAGCAAGAACTCGGAGATTTCTGGCCTTAGTTCTCAGCCGGCCACGAATCAAATCACAGAGCAAAATTATTCAAGAAAGAGTATAAGCACACAGCTTTTGTATAGTAGTGAAGAGATTTTCAAACTCAGAACTTCCCCCTCTTCAAAAGGGAGTGGGGAGGGGTTTAAATAGTGCAGAAACTAAAACATAAACATGGAAAATAATTGATTCAGACACTAAAAGGGCAAGCACTAAAGTATGGAACCAAGAGGAATCTATTGAGCATATATTTGTCACATGTCCTACTGCCTCTAATGTATGGAACTTGTTCATGGGGGCTGCTGGAATTACTGTGCCATTGATTCAATTGAAACAAACTATAAGACATTGGTGGTATGCTCAATGTTGTCCAAAGTTAAAGCCATTGTTTCAAGCAGTACCAGCTATCATCACTTGGGAACTTTGGAAGAGAAGAAATACAGGTAAACATGGGGGTTCAGTGTCCACAAATAGGGTGATTCATGAGATCAATAGGACATTGCATCAACTGGCAAGGGTGATGTATGCTTGGATGACTAATATTCCATTGTTATGGCCAAACATAATTCAATATTTGGAAGGATATAAACCTATATTGATCACTATAAGAGTAACATGGCAGCTTCCTTTTCATGGTTGGTACAAATGCAATACGAATGGAGCTTCAAAAGGAAATCCTGGTCCTAGCTCATTAGGGTTTTGTGTGAGGAATGATGAAGGTGATATGGTGTATGCAAAGGCAGTAGACCTGGGGGTGACAACTAATGTGGTGGCTGAAGCTAAGGCTATTCTTCAAGGATTGGAATACTGTGTGGAGCATGCTCTTCACCCTCTCATATTGGAGACTGACTCATTAGTGATGAAGAAAATGATAGAAGGGGAATGGGATCCTCCTTAGGTTATTTAAATGATGTGAAGAAAATTATAGAGATGAAGGGCAACTTCAATGTGATCTTTCAACATGTGGTCAGAGAAGGCAACTCAGTGGCGGATTTTATAGCTAACATTGTGTTTTCTTTTGCAGGTACATCTGAGTTTCACTCATTTTATGAACTGCCTAGTGCAGGGACGAGGTTGATTAATTTAGACAAGTCTCAAACTCCTAATCTTAGGGTTAGAATAGCAAAGAGAAGAGCCCCAGACTGATGGCTTCACACGATTGGAATCTGCACATACATGTGTGTTTCTTTTATGTCTCATTCTATATGCTATTAAAGTACTTTCCAGTGGTATTATCATGGTCACATGCTCATTCTGGGGGTGCTTTGATAGTATACAGGACCAATGTGATAAGCAGTTATTGGATGGTGCAATTTATTCTACTTCTGGTATGTTCAAATGTTAAGGAAAAGGTTGAATCTGTTATGTGGAATTTCTGGAGATTGTTGAATCATTTTTTAGTGGTATCAGCATGTCTTCATGCTCAATCTGAGGATAGTTTAGCAATGTTTAGAATGATTTCTACATTAAAGGTTCGGGAAGAGAAGGATCTGAGCTTACAAGATCATAAAATCATCCAGCTCCATTGGCCTAGCGGCGCCAGGCTAAAGCCTGATGATACCCTGGCGTTACCCTGGCGTCGCCAGCTTAAAGTCAGCCCTGGCCTAGCTTTTGCCTTGCAAATCCATCCTAAAGCCAACCCCATCCTGGCCTTTGCCTTGCAAAGCTTGCTTAAATCCAACCCCAGCCTGGCTTTTGCCTTGCAAAGCTTGCCTAAAGCCAGCCTCAGCCTGGCTTTTTCCTTGCAAAGCCTACTTAAAGCCAGCCCCAGCCTGGCTTTTGCCTTGCAAAGCCTACTTAAAGCCAGCCCCAGCCGGGCATTTTCCATGCAAAGCCTGCCTAAAGCCAGCCCCAGCCTGGCTTTTGCCTTGCAAAGCCTGCCTAAAGCCAACTTCAAGACAGGTGTAGCCAGGCTCTTTTACATGATAATATTAATGATCCATCACATGATTTATACTTGGATAGAGTCAGTACACTGCCTATGGAGATCAGATCATATTGTAGCAACTCTAATGATTGGAAGACTATGCTGGCTTCAACCTGTGGTGGAGATGTTTGGAATTCATATTAGCCTATGGACTGAATACCCTGGCGCTTGGTGAGAGCTTGATAGGTGCTGCTAGGTATTTGCCACTGGCAATTGGATTCAAATACACTGACAGGAGAAGGAAGCATTCAGCGGACAATGTTGTAATAGCTAGTTCATTAGACTTTAGCTTTTCTCTCTTTTTAGTATCTAGTAGCTTCATGCAACTTCTATTTTGGTTTGGACATCTTGTAAGCTTTGGACCCATTTTGGAATTTTATTTATATATTAGCCATTAGGCAGCCTGCCTAGTGGTATATTTGCTAAAAAAAAGGAACTTAAATGAGTAAGGACAGAAGTTGAAACCCTAATTTTAGGTAAAAGATACACAAAATCGGCAGAAAATACAGGCAAAAAATCACATATTACATAAAATGAATATAGACAGGAAATTATTCAAAAGAACCACAGAGTCGAACCAGATTTGGTTCGATTAAAAAGATTTGAAACCCTAATTTAGGGTAAGTAAAAGAAATCGACAAAAATAGGCAGATTCTCACATAATAGGGTGAATAATGACAAAATAATACTTAAAATCGAAGGCTTGAACCAATTTTGGTTCAAATCAAAGAATATCTGTAAACCCTAACCATAGGGTTAAGTTGAATTAGCAAGATGTGAACGAATCGGACTCACACGGTGCAAAATAAGCATGTGTGGACTCAATATCGTCCAGATTCAAGAGACGAAAGTCAAAATAGGACAGAAACAGAGCAAGAATACTTGCCATGTTTAGGCAAGTACTAGGTAATACCGTAGAGAATCGCCCAATAATGGAAACATTTCGAAATGGTAAGGGAATGGGGAGAAATCCCATTAGAGACGGGATTAGGAGAGAATTTCGGTGAGGCGGTGGGCTAGGGTTCTTGAGAGATAAAAGACGAGAGTGTTCTGGGGAGGCGGGGGTGTAGAATGATTAGGGTTAGGGGTTTGGTTAGGTTTAAAGGGGCAGATGTAACATGGGCCGTTGATCTTAGAGATCAACAATCCTGATATAAAGGGTTCTGGGTCGAGTATAAAAATGGGTATGGGACAGGGTTAATGGGTTTTAGGCCAAGGGTATTGGGCTGGTGTATTGGGTAGTTTTAGGTCCGAATTTGGGTAGGAATTTAGGCTAGTTTTTAAATACCCAATTTTAACAAATAAATAATTTATAAAAATAATAAATAGATAAAAAAAAATATCATTTGTGCGGTAAAATGATTTAAAATAGTTACTTAACATTTAAAAAATATAAAAATCATTTTTTGCAATGTAATTACACAATAATGGGGATATTATTGCAAAGATATACAATTTAGCCTTAAAAATGCAAAATATAATTATAAAAATGCACTAAAAAATATTTAAACACTATGTTGGTATGAATAGTAAATTTAAATGATTAAATCATCATAAAAATAATATGAAGGATAATTATTGGATAATTATATAATAAAATACAGAAATAAATTGATTTAAAGCCTTTTAAAAATTATGAAAAATATTTGTGTATGCTTATAAATCAAATGATGACGCATATGCACTATTTTGAAGATATATATATATATATATATATATATAAATTTAACATCATTAACAAGAAGACCACTGCAGGCCTGATGAAGGCGTTATCAAATATGTACGAGAAGCCACCTGCTTCAAATAAAGTCTATTTGATGTGTCGATTGTTCAAATTAAAGATGACAGAAGGTGGATCCGTCACGGAACATATCAATGAGTTTAATATAATATTAACTCAGTTGAGTTCTGTTAATATAACAATTAATGACGAAATCAGGGCGTTGATTCTACTATCATCTCTACACGAGAGTTGGTCTGCAACAGTAACTGCAGTTAGCAGTTCATCAGGAAGTACCAAACTCAAATTGAATGATATTAGAGACTTAGTTCTAAGCGAAGATATTCGCCGAAGAGAATCAAGTGATTTCCCAGGATCTGCTTTTAATACCGAAAGCAGGGGGAGAAGCAACCAAAGAGGACAGAGTTATGGTCGTGGCAGATCAAAGTCAAGGAGAAGAGGACAATCCAAAAATCGCAAGGACATTATTTGTTGGAATTGCGATAAAAAGGGTCACTACAGTAGTCAATGTAGAGAACCAAAGAAGAAGAAGGAAGAAAATTCAGCAAATGTAATTGCTGAACAAGTCGGTGATGCACTAATTTGTTGTGCAGATAGTCCAGTCGAATCATGGATTCTGGACTCAGGATCATCCTTTCACTCTGCATCATGCAAAGCATTATTGCATAATTATATTGCTGGAAAATTTGGGAAAGTTTATCTAGTGGACGGTGAACCTCTCGACATTTCCGGGAAAGGTGAAGTTCGTATAAAGACTTCACAAGGCACGCTATGGAAATTGCAAAATGTACGACATGTTCCTGGCCTCAAGAAAAATCTGATATCTATGGGTCAGATTGACAGTGAAGGATATATAACAACATTCGGCAACGGATCGTAGAAGATAACCAAAGGAAATTTGGTTGTGGCACGAGGCTTCAAAAGGGGAACACTGTATGCAACTGCAATACAGAGAGATACTATAGCAACAGTTGATCATGGTCGTGATATAACATTGTGGCACCGGAGGCTCGGGCATATGTGTGAGAAGGGAATGAAGTTGTTGGCATCCAAAGAAAAGTTGCCAAACCTAAAACATGTTGAATTAAGTTTGTGCGAAGATTGCATTTATGGGAAACAAAAGAGAGTTAGTTTCTCAAAGGCGGGAAGGACGCCAAAGAAAGAGAAGCTGGAACGAGTGCATACAGATGTGTGGGGACCAACTCCTGTAACTTCTCTAGGAGGATCACGCTATTATGTCACCTTGATTAATGATTCCACAAGAAAGGTATGGTTTTATTTTTTGAAAAATAAATCTGATGTGTTTGTTACCTTTAAAAGATGGAAAGCTGAAGTTGAAAATCAAACAAGTCTAAAGCTAAAATGTCTGAAGTCTGACAATGGAGGAGAGTATGATAGCCAAGAGCTCAAAGCATTTTGCTCGGAGAATGGGATCAGAATGATCAAGATAGTTCCTGGAACACCGGAACAAAATGGCGTTGCTGAGAGGATAAATATAACCCTGAATAAACGAGCCAGAAGTATGAGAATACATTCTGGATTGCCGAAGTATTTTTGGGCCGAGGCTGTTAACACGGCAGCTTACCTCATAAATAGGGGACCTTCTGTACCGCTGAATTTTGAAATTCCTGAGGAGGTATGGACATGAAAGGAGGTAACTCTCTCACATCTAAATTTTTTTTGTTGTGTTGCTTATGTGCATGTAAACTCTAATGATAGAGATAAGCTTGATCCTAAAGCCAAGAAATATTTCTTTATTGGATATGGTGATGATAATTTTGGTTATTGGTTTTGGGATGATCAGAATAGAAAGATCCTAAGACACATGAATCTCACATTTAATGAAAATGTGATGTACAAGGACAAGCTTGAAGTAGAACCAACCAGCACCAGCGAACAGACATCCGAAACAGTTGAGTTAGAAGAAATCTCAGAAAATAAAGTGGCTAGAGGGACTACAACTGATTCTGAAATTGAAGATGAAGAACCAGAAGCCGAATTTGAAGAAGAACTAGAAGCCGAACCTGGATCAGAACCAGAACCGGAACCAGAGATAGAATCAAATGCAGAACCAAATCTGGAATTAGGACCTGAATCAAATTCGGGTTCAGTTACTCATGAACCTACATTGAGGAGATCTAAAAGAGTCACGAATACTCCAGATAGATTAACTCTCTCTCTCTCTTCACTATGCTGGAGAACCAGAGCATTTTGTTGAAGCAATGCAAGT